CCCAAACCTACCTAACCATATAAAGTAGGATTATTATGAAAAACAATTCTCACGTTGTATTCTTGTCACTGAAACTGCGGGGGAAACAAAAACCCTCCAACAATATCTTTAGTGTTAGAGAGTCAAGGCATTACTTGGTTTTGGCAAAGATATGCAGCACACATCATTCCATCCACACATAGCCCGAGTGTGCAGAGAAGATGATTCCATGACACGTGAGATTTATTAGTTTTTTCCTAAACTTTATGTAGTCTGAACCAATCTAAATGCATTGGTTTAATGTTCATTGCTTCCAAGTGGTGTAGTTTTTAGTATTTGGTTTCCTATTAGATCCGGATTCCTTCCCCTCTGGAGTTAATTAGCTCCACACTCCTGGATTTCCTTCTCAGCCTTTTCCAGACCAGGTGTCTCTAGATTCCCCTCTGGAGTTAATTAGCTCCACACTCCTGGATTTCCTTCTCAGCCTTTTCCAGACCAGGTGTCTCCAGCTGTGCCGGGGGCAGTGTCTGGGGTAGCTGTTGGTTGCTGTTTGCTGCTGGGCGTTGATGTTTTGTTGCTGGTCGTTATCTCTGTGGGTGTCTTTTGGGCTATTCCCAGTCTGTGGAGATGTTTAGCTCATCTCCATTGAGTGCTGTAACATCCATTAAATAAAAACTTTAAAATTCCTTTCCCCAAGGCAAAGACAAACCAAGCCTGAGAGAAAGAAGATTTAAAAGAAACAAAATCGGTACATTTTGCAGCAATGCAGTCGCAGTCAGCCCAGAGTGTGGGTGTGAGTGAGCCCCAGAGTGGAATTGTGCCGTGGTGCTCCCCAGCAGCTGTGGCAGTGCAGGCCCAGCCAGCGCTGAAGCTGCAGCAGTGGCAGCAAGGCTTGGCCCCAGTGGCTGGAGGTGCCAGAGCAGGGTGGCCAGGATTTCCGAGGGTTTGAGCAGAGGATCTGTGGGCAGGCCCAGGGGCTTGGCCCGCTGTGGAGCCCTGGCTGCTGCTGTGTTGCCTTCAGGGCAGGCTCAGTGGCGGCTCCCATGGTCCTGCTGCAGGCGGGAAGTGCAAATCTCCGGGGCTTCAGAGCCCCTGAGGCCAGGCTGAGGGGTCCCCCCGTGTTCAGCTGTGCTGGCGGCTGTTTCTGGCCTCAGGGACACTTGGCATGGGCCCCTTGGCCACCAGTGGTGCTGCTTTGCACTCCTTAGGCAGGAGCCGATGTCCTGGCTGGGTGTTGGCAACAGCAAAGTCCCAGGGCAGGCTCTGTGCCAGCCCAGCTTCCTGTGGGAGAGATTTCACAAGAGACAGGATTCTGGCCACGGACTGCTTGAAACATACATCCCTTATCTCCACCCTGCACAAGGTGGAGAGTTACCAGGGTAAGGAATTCCAGACATCAATTCCAAGGGAGATAATTGAATATCTGCCCTGGGTTTGGTTCTTCTTCTTGCCATAGCCAATGGCAAAAGCTGTACCCACGGCATCTTGGTTTTTATCACCAGCTTCCAAAAGTGTTTCTTTATTTCTCCTGACCTGAGCTCAGGGGGTGCCAGGGGTTATGGAGGTCCCATTGCATTCCTAAAGCTGCCATAACCCCCTGAAGGATCTTTTGCGTAAAATTAGTTCTTCTTTCTGAGTCTATTGCTTCCACAATCCCTTCTCTATGAATTAATTATTTTAGAAATACCTTAATAAGTGATGCAGTGCTTGCTGAAGCAGTCAGAATTGCTTTTGCCGCCCTGTTAGGTGCCATGGTGTCAGCAGAAGATATTGAAGCCTTCCTGCCCAGGGCATTTCAGTGCCAGGCTCTTACAAGCACCCACAGCTCCGCGGGTTGAGCTGAGCATGGGGTGGTGACCTGCGCTTTGTCTGATTCCCCTTCCTTAATAACAGCCTGTCTTGTAGCTCTTTTCCCTTCTGCTGCCCTTGCAGAGCCATCCAGAAACACATTTTCTCCCTCAGTCCAGGGATTGTCTCATCAATCTCTCCCAGCCTGGTTCTGGAGCTCTGTCCCTTGAATGCAGTCCTGGGTGTCTCGGTCTCTCTGCGAGCCTCTCAGGAACCCTCGGCCAGTCCCGAGTCGGCAGACACCGGGGGGGGCAGCCCCGACATAGCCGACAGCGGGCAGACACTCTCTGTGCCCCGAGGGTACTGAGGGTACCTGGACTGGTCGCCTTTGCAGCACAAGAGACACCAGAGACAGCGGTAGAAGATAAAGGGCCGACTCTTAGCAGGGGTTAATCCAAGGTTTTATTAGGAGTCCCAAAGGAGCTCCTGCACCTCAGGCGGCCTCCTGTCGAGAGCCCGGGAGATGTGCCAAGGTCACATTTAAAGGGAGGTGGAAACCAAAAGTAGATAACATTTTACCAACCTATAAGTGACCCTAAGGGATGGATGCTGGGGGATAAACATATAGGACAGCGTATGGGGCAAGGCTGGGGGGGCTGACCCCTGGCCTCTGGCTAATCACTCAACGACCTGGACTGAAACTTCTGGATGGAGGGGATGGGATGCTGAGTGATTGACAGAGAGCCAGGGTGGGGGTTTGGGGATGATCTCATCCCGGGAGAGGGATTACACAGGTATAGGGGTACAGTTTGGGATAAACCATTTGGGAAAAATATGGGGATACAAAACAAAACTACTTCGAAGTATTACAAAGTATAAAAACGCACTACAACACCTGAGTTTCTTGCCAGCCCCTCTCCAGGCAATTCTGCAGACATTGAGGCCACTCTGGCCACTGGGTTAAACATTTTAACACAAGAATTCTTCGGCATGGCCCTGTTTAACATCCACCTATAATTAAAATTCTTTCTCCCTGTCTAGGAGGGCCAGGGCAGGAGCCTCAGTTAATTTGCTTTTTAACACTTGAAAATTCTGTGATTCCTCCTTGTGTCCATCCATCCAGTTTCTTGACTGGAGTGTTGTAGGGAGAGATCCCTGGCTCCAAAACCCTGCCTTTAAGAGAGAGTCAGTAATAAGCTGTAAGCCCTTCCTTCCCTCTCTTGGAATAGGGTATTGATTTTAAATCTTTAAATCTCTTGTCCTTGTTGCTTCAAAGTAATTTGGTGAGGCTCCAAATCTAATTTTCCCTCTTTCCCTGGACTGTCCACATTTGTGGGTTCACTTCAGCATAGGCCTTGCCAGACATTTGACACATAAGTACAACATCATAAGCCTCTGTATCACCTTTTACAATATAAAAATCCAGCCACCAAATTCCTTCCCAGTAAATTGCAATCAAGTAGGAAGAAAAAGTAATTTATTTCAAACGTATCCCCTACATCTCCTAGTAGTGGTTGATGAAATCATACCTGCTCATCTTTCCCACTTATTCCCTTAATAATTAAACCATGCCTTTCCTATTTTGCCCATTAGGTCTAAGATTCAGAGTGGATTGAGAGGCCCCTGTGTCCATCAGGAGAGGCCTCCTCTCAATGCAGACCCACCTGAATGTTCTCAAGGGCTCCAGTGTGGAGGGTCCCTGGTGTGATGGGAGCTTTGACAGCCCTGCCAATCCATGTCCATCAAGGGGTGGACTTGCTGGTCCTGAGGGTGCTGCTGTCTGTGCTTGCAGTGTCCTTGTGCCCTGCAGCTGGAGCCCTGATTCCTTGCCAGGGGCTGTTTGGGTGGGCTGTCCCCTGGTGAGGAGGGCAATGCCTCTGCCGGGTGCTTGTGGCCGAGCCCGTGCCCTGGGTGCTGGGGCCCCCTTGGGCCCTGGGGTTGATCCCTCAGGGGCTGTAGGAACTCTGCCCTGGCCTTTGCCTTCAGCTTGGCCTTTTGCTGCTCCCTTCTTGCATTCACCTGCTGGGCCTTTGTGCCCAAGTGCTGCAGGGCCTTCTTCTGCCCCTCCTGCAGCCCCCCTCAGTGCCTGTGGGTGCTCATTCTCTGAGAGCTGCTGAGCTTTCTGCAAAATCATTCGTTTCTCCAGTGATCCCAACAAAATCCTTAAAAGAAAATCTCAGTCCTTCCATGTATAATCCACATTTCCCAGGTGTTCCTTGCTCCTTGTCCCTGTGCTCAGGGTGCCCTCCCCAGCCCGTATCCCAGAGCCGGTCCCTGTCCTGCCGCAGTGTCCAAAGGCGCCCCCCCGGCGGGCAGGGCCGGCAGCTCCACGGGGCCGGGCAGCGGCCGGGGCGTCCCGCAGCCTCCTGGGGGCCGGGGGCCACTGCCGGCCCTGCCCGGGGCTGGTGGGGTCAGGCAGCGCCCGGCGCTGAGCCCCGGCTGCCCCACAGCCCCGGCCCGGCCCCGCAGCTCCCCCCAGGCCCCCAGCCCGTGCTCCCGGTCCCGCACCTCTGCGCCCGGTGCTGCCGCTGCCCCCCACAGAGAAACCCCCTGAAACCCTGACCTCCTTGTTTTCCTCTCCTGGAAACCAGGGATACAAATGATCAGCTGGCAAATGTTGAGGATAAGACTCTGCTGAAAAACATCTAAATTCTGAGTATTTTTCTCTTCCTCCCCTTTTCTTTTTCTCACCACATAGATTCCTCCTGCTGCTTCTCGCCTTAACCATATTCCTGCACACTCCCCTTCACCCAGTCTCTTCCCAGCACACCAACACCATCCATCCCCTGTTGTCCATATCATTTCTCAACTTTCCCTTATTGCCCCCCCTGGGTGTCCAAGTCCTTAATTACCTCTGGGAGAATGTGCAAACTACCTCACCCTTCTCCCAAGGGACCCTTCAGAGATATTTTGGGATCATCATCCCTTTGGCACAGGACCCCTTCCTGGCTTTCCCTTTTCTGTCTCCATGGGTGCCCTGCCATGCTCACTCCCCAAAGATCCCAGTGCACTCACTGATGAGATTTTCAGTGCTCTCTCCCTGCTGACTCTTCACAGCCCCCCCTGATGTGTCACTCGTCTGTCTCCTGGTCACTCTCAGGTACCCAATCAGTCCCCGGTGCTGCCACCCCCAAGGGGGCCGATCACCCAAACTGGGTGAGGCACCTTCAGCTGCACTCACTGCCCGCTGCCCCAGACGGTGGATAGAATTCCGGACGAGTCCCAAGGTGTGTGGAAAAATTGACATCACCAGAGATTCTGTCCACAAAGCAGACAGAGGAGTCCTGTAAAAGTAATTTCATTCCTAAAGAAAGGGAGAGGCCATGGGACATTTCCTACAGGTTCTCTCCAGTTGTTGGACTCAGCCTCCTGTTCATCCTAATTTGCCCAGCTGCATCTCCCTCTTCCTTTCCTCATTGGGTGGTGTCCTTGAGAGGAAGAGACTTCCCAATCCACTTACTACATATCCCCTTGACATGCTCCCTACTTTTGTGTAGCAACCGATATTCATGGCTCTGTGAAGTCTTTGTTCTTCTTGAAGTTCATGAATTTGGCAGGACCTTGGCTGAGCAGCAGTCTGTGTCATCAGTTAACAACATTTTCTTAAACTGATGGCTTCTCCTGTCGCTTCCTTACGTACAAGTTCCTGGGTCTATCTCTCAGCAGATTCACAGCATCTGATTGTAAAGACACTTTCCTCTTCTTCCTTTCATGGGGATCCCGCGTTTGTGGGACATCCCCCCCTGGAGCAGGGTGTCCCCCCTTGCTGCAGCCCCAGCCCTCAGGCAGCGCTCAGCCAATCAGAGCGGGCAGCACTGATGACTCAGCAGTTGCCAGGCAGACCCGCAGCTCCCAGCGTTCCCCACCTGCGCCCAGCGCCCCCCTCGAGGGGAATTTGGGGAGGTGGGAGTGGGGCAGCGCCAAGGCCGGGCCCCCCCGCGCTGTCCTGGCGGGAGCGGCTGCAGTGGGGACCGAGTGCGGGCGGGAGCGGCCGAGAGCCCAGCGCTGCCCCAGCCCGACCTGCCCCAGCTCCATCCCTGCCCCTGCCGTGGGATGCTGTGGGTTTGGGGGCAAGAGGGAGCCGGCAGCGGGTGCTGGGCCTGGGGCAGGAGGAGAAGGGAAGGAGGAGAAGGGAAGGAGAAGCAGGGTTGAAGAACAAAATGGTGAAACCCTGGACGTGGGAGGAGAGGGTGGGATTGTGCAGGAGAAGGAGGAGTTGTAGGAGGAAGAAGAGTGTGAGGAAGAGCAGGAACAGAGGAGGAGGAGGAGCAGAAAGAGGCGGCACCACACGGTTCTACCTCTCCCTGTATCTGCAGCCTCCCCCCAGCCCCAGGAGGTTTGTCCCCCATATGCAACAGGTGACCAGGGGAGGGGGAATCCATGATTATCACAGAGGCTGAATCTTGGTGTTTCTGGGCTTCATTGGGCAAATGTTGGTGCTTTTGTTTTTTGTGAGGGCTGAATCTCTGTATTTTGGAGGGGGGTTTTGCTGAATATTGATGTGGGGAAGTTTTTGATCTGCATTTTGATGTTTAGAGGATTTTTGACTTTCCCAGATGAACTTGGGCATGGAGGTTTTCCCAGTCCAAGCTGCTCTCCTCTTGATTTTTTCTGCAAACCAGGATTTTTCATTCCCAGGGTGTGGCCTGATGGAGGAGGAGGAAAAGCCCCGAATGTACCTCATGAAGAGGGGCTGCAAACCGTACCCAGGGAGTTCTGGGGAGGAAAGAGCCCCCATGAGCCAGGAATGCATCCTGCCATCCAGCCAGAGCTTGGAGCTGGTGGAGAAGCCTCATGGCAGGGAGAAGCCACACAGGTGCTTGGAATGTGGGAAATGTTTCAGCTGGAGCTCCACCCTGAGGCAGCACCAGGTGATCCACACTGGGGAGAGGCCCTTTGAGTGTGGGGAATGTGGGAGGAGTTTCAGCCACAACTCCATCCTGATCCAACACCAGAGGATCCACACTGGGGAAAAGCCATTTGAGTGTGGGGAATGTGGGAAGAGCTTCAGGCAGAGGGGCCAGCTGATACGACACCAGGTGATCCACACTGGGGAAAAGCCCTATGAGTGTGGGGAGTGTGGGATAAGCTTCAGCCAGAAGGGCTACCTGATGCAACACCAGAGGATCCACACTGGGGAAAAGCCCTTTGAGTGTGGGGAATGTGGGAGGAGCTTCAGAGGAAGCTCGGCCCTAATTCGGCACCAGGTCATCCACACGGGGGAACGGCCCTACACCTGCTTGGAATGTGGGAAGAGCTATGGGTGGAACTCTGACCTGAGAAAACACCAGCGCACCCACTCTGGGGAGAGGCCCTATGAGTGTCCTGAGTGTGGGAAGAGGTTTCACAGGAGCTCCGATCTCCTCAAACATGAGCGGATTCACACAGAGGAGAGGCCCTTCCGCTGCCCCGACTGTGGGAAGGGCTTCAAGCAAAACTGCAAACTCACCATCCACCGGCGCATCCACACTGGAGAGAGGCCGTACAAGTGTCCTGAGTGTGGGATGAGCTTCTCACAGAGCTCTCACTTGACAGAACACCAACGGAGGCGCCACTAAGGGAAGCCCTGTGAGTGCCCCACGTGAGGGAAGAGCTTTGTGTGCTGCTCCAGCTCTGTCCCCCATGAGACGATCTACATTGGATGATCCTCAGTGAGCGTTGTTGGGCAGAGCCCTGGTGATCCATGGTCCTGGTGATCCGTGTTGGGAAGACACCTGGCTGGGGGGCTCCACATCTTCCTGGTTCCCTGTGGGCAGCTAGATAAACCCAGCAGCAGGAACATCCATTGGGACACAGACCTACAATGGGAATTCCTTGGGGAGGACAGATTTGTCGACTTTCAACCCCATAAAATCTTTTGCATTCAATCCTATCTTCTGGTGACCTCAGGGAGTACTGAATGGTGTTGAAGATATATTCGGAGTGGACTATATGATGTTTGTATCCCCAGTCTGTTCTGTTTGTGCTGAATAATAAGTTTTGTACCTTTAAGACTTGTTCTGAGAGTGAAGGGGTAGAGAAGCAGCATGCAGTTTGTTTTCAGAAACTGCACTCGCTCCTCCACATTCCTGCTCTGGGACTGTGTTGTCTGCGGATGGACAGACAGCGGGACAGAGCTCTCCTTTGCTTTTAGTTAGTTTTAGCTAGCTGAGGCAAAGAAGTTCTCTGGACTGTGGGTTTTTTGCCCTTTTCTTTGGACCTGTTTAAACCTGCTCTGGCCTGAACACCAGAAGAGCACGGGCAGCTCACACCTGTGGCCCACCGGGCCGGGCCTGGGCCGCGGCATTTCCAGCACCGGAGGGACTGATAAGGGACTGAGTGAGCTGAGCTACAGCCCACAGAGGGACCTTGTGAGTTTGTCTCTCTTTTAGAGCAGCAAGAGGTTTTATTGTTTAATATTGTTTAGGTTTTATTGTGTAATAAACAGTTTTTTTCCACTTTTCTCCAAGGAGGTATTTTATTTTTCCTGAAGCAGTTGGGGGAGGGGCTGATTGAATCTGCTTTCTAGAGAATCTCCTTTGGGGGTTCTCTCCCAAATTTGCCCTGAACCAGGACAAGGTCCTTTCTAACTTCAGGGATTCCATGATTTTGATTTCCTATTGCCCAAAGGTGTCTTCCGTAGCCAAATGGTGGAAAACTGGGGAAAAGACTAAGATTTTGGAGACAGTGGGATAGAAACTCCACCAGAAAAGGTTCTTGCCTTCTACCCAAGCATGTGGATGCTCAGCCAGCATGGACACTGAAATCCTTTTCTTTTGGTCTTGATTTTCTTTTCATTTCTCTTCATCCCTTTAAAATATGCAGTCTTGGGGTAAAAGTAGACATTGAATTAAGACATGGGTGTAGTCATGGTAGAACACAGATATGGTGGGACACAGACATGGAGAGTAACATGGTGACGCATGGACATGGAGGGGGCATAGCCATTCATGGGGATGTGGGTGGACACAGGCATGGATGGAGATGTGGGGAACAATGACAGGGATGGAAACATGGTGGGGAGACAGCGGTGGGTGATGACATGGTGGGACATGGCCAGTGACATGTGGGGACATAGCCATGGCTGGTGCCATGGGGGGAACTTGCAGGGGATGTGGGAGATGCTGGGTTTGAGAGAGTTGAGGGTTCCTGGGAGGGACCTTGCTGAGGCCTTTGGGGACCCCAGGCCAAGTGGCTCTGGCTGTGCTGGGAGACCATGGGGGAGGTTCTGGGGCAGTTGCTCAAGGACCCCCTGAACTGGAGCCCCAGCCGGGCATTGGGCTCCTGGAAGGGGATGAACATCCTTGTCCCCAGGAAGAAAATCCCAGCACCCCCAGGATGTCAGGGGCAGCTGAGAGGCCACAACAGGAGGGGAAAGCCAGACAGAGCTGTCACACTCTTAAACTACACCCCAAAAGTCCCAAAACTGAGGGATTCTTCCCAGGAAAAAGCAGCTAGGAGATGCATGAATCGAGGGAAAGGGGGGATGTGACCCTCCAGACTGAGCAGGAGGGACCTGCATCCCCCAAAACCAAATAGGGATGAGAGGTGGAGCTGAAGGCATGATTGGAAAGGGGTGGGAGTGCAGGGAAAAAGAGGATTCAGAGTGGGAGAGGGATGGGATCCCCAAATTGAGTTGGGAGGGGTCCTTGGGTTGGGGGAATGATGGGAGAGGGGGGGAAAGTTTGGGATAGGATAGAAAAAGGGTGGTTCCGTGGGGATCCCACTGTGTCCCCATTGCTTGATCCCTGGAGTGATTCCCTGGGGCTCTGGAGGGGAATGGATCTGCACTGGGTGGATTCCCAAGCCCTCTGCCCATCCCTGGGGAGCTCATGGGATGTTCCCTGGTTCCTTCCACCCAAACGCTGCAGCCATGGGAGAGAGAAGGGTGTGAAAGGAGGATCTGGATTGGGCATGGAGGAGGAGAAATAGGAAGAGGAGGGAGAGAAGCGGAGGATGGGAAAAGGAAGAGCAGGAACAGGAGGAAGAAGAGGAGGAGCCGCAGCAGAACCACGCTGTTTTCCCACTCGCCCGCTGAGTCTGCAGCTCTCCTGGCCCTGGCAGCATCTATCCCCCCAGATCTCACAGGTGAGTGGGGAGGGGGAACTCACCCCAAATCCACTGGAGGATCTCTAGGAGGGTTTGTTTCAGGGGAGGGGATGTTTGGATCTTGCAGGGCCCCAAGGGTGAGACACAGATGCCCCTTTGGAGAACTGTGGAAAGTTCCTGAGGCAAACTGTCTGTACTGGCTGGGGCAGTGGTACCAGCTGGGGGGGGACATTGGTGTTGGGACTCTGATTGGCATCAGAGTGGGGAGAGCAACGAAGGCCAATCCCGGAGTTGAGGGATCCTGTCAGCCTGGAGGGGTGGGGGAGGCTGGAGATGAGCAGGGTCTGGGCCCATCCAACTGTGAACAGGGCGGTTACTTTTTGAGCTGGACTTGGGAAGCAGGACCAAGGGCCTCACCTGTTGTTTTTCCCCCAAGCCAGGATTTGTCAATCCCAATCTTTGTCTGGATGGAGCTGGAGGAGGCTGCGAGGAAAAGGAAGATGGCCTGGGACACTGAGGCAGGCAAGGAGGAAGTCACTGCCCCTTTCTCCCTCTCCTCTGTTTCATGTCTCAGCCCAACATTTCCTCTGGCTGCAGGACAACCCCGCTACCAATGCCGTCCTGCCAAGGATGAACTGGGGGAATCTCCTTCCCCTTCCCTCTGGCAAAGAGGCAAATCCCATCCTGTCCTTGTCCACAGCTCCTTCCCCTTCTCATTCTGTCCTTCTTCCTTCCTCATTCCTTCCTCTCCTTTTCTTTCCTTTCCTTCCCCAGGCACTGAGCTGCAGACGGAGACCAGGGAGAGCAAATCCCTGCTGCAGAACCTCATGGAAAAGGCCGTTTTGAGCAGCCCCATGGCATGGGAATCCAATGGGGAGGATAAGCCCTGGAGATCCCACACAAGGAGGGGTTGCAAACCCAGCCCTGGCAGCTGTGAGGAGGAAAGATGCCCCCTGTGTCCAGAAGGCAGCCAGAGATTCATTCAGAACTCAGAGGTGGTAGAGACAACTCGTGGTTGGCAGAAACCCCACAAGTGCTTGGAATGTGGGAAGGGCTTCAGCTGGAGCTCTGGAGCTCAGATGTGATCTGGCTCCAGGTGATCCACATGGGGAAACGGCCCTACAAGTGTGGGGAGTGTGGGAAGGGCTTTGGGTGGAGCTCCAACCTCATCAATCACTGCAAGATCCACACTGGGGAGAGAACCTATGAGTGTCCCGAGTGTAGGAAGTGGTTTCTGAGCAGCTCCAATCTCATCGTAATGAGTCAAGGGATCAGCTGGAAATGTATTTACGATAATTGAAAACTGTGGATGAGTCAAGGGGCCAGCTGGGAGTATAACTGAGATAGTAGAAGATTGCATATTTTAGTTAAGATTTTAAAATTAGTTAAGAAGGTATGTTAGCTAAGCAAAAATCACATAGGTTAGTGAAAGAGTAACAAATATATTAGAAAGTAAAGCTCGGAGTGACAGGGATAGATGTAGCAATTGTGGAGGAGCAGAGACGATAGAAATATCTTGCCTTAAGAATAATCAGTTTGGAGAGGCTTGGACCATGACCAGCAGATCAAAAAATCCTGCAAACTCGCCATGGGTGAAGAGTTTACCATGAGGAAGAAAGCTTTCTTCTTCACATACGCCCACTCCCTTATTTCAAAATCCCACAGACCCAATTAAGGCAGTGCAATTGCGCAGTCATATTAGGTATTCAGCTGACTATAATACAAAGTGGGCAGATAATGATTCTGTATTATGCATCCTTAGAAACTGCTTGGATATGTAAAACCTTTTCTGTATAAATAGAGAGCAGGAGTCTGCAACTCCTTGCACATCCATTTGGAAATGATTCCCTGTGTGTCCAGCACTGCAATAAAATACCCTTCTTTTCAACTTTAATTAGTTGAAGAGTTGTCTGTCTGTGCTTCAGTACATCAGCAGATTCACACTGAGGAGAGGCCCTTCCACTGCCCCGACTGCGGGAAGGGCTTCAGGTGCAACTCCACCCTCGTCACCCACAGGCACATCCACACTGGGGAGAGGCCCAATGAGTGTCCTGTGTGTGGGAAGAGATTCTCCAGAAGCTCTCACTTGGGCCAACACAAATGGAGGCACCATTAAGGGAAGCCCTGCCAGTGTCCCCCATCCCGGTGTCACCCCCTTTTTTCTGCCCTCAGAGCTCCTGAGCCAGTGGCAGCTGCAGCCCCTTCCCGTGGCCTTGCACCTGACTGGGACCTCCTGTGATTGCGCAGGGAGGATTGGGGTGTGACTGAGCAGGGAGGGTGGGGTCCAGGGAACACTGGGTGCTGTGGGTCTGCCCAGCAACTGGTGACTCATCAGAACTGCTCTCTCTGATTGGCTGATTCTTGTTCATTGCATTCTCTGATTGGCTGTGGAGAGGCCTGGGAGTTGAGTGCAGGAATGGGAGAGATCCCACCCCGAGCACCAGCATTGGCAAAATAGAGCCAGCCTGGGCACAGGGAGTGAATTTATTACCAACCAAATCACATCAGGACAAAGAGAAGGGAAAGGAATCTCTCCAACATCTTCCCCCCACCTAGGGGGGTTAATGACGATGGAGAGACGGGACATCCGATTTCAGATCAGAAGCCAATTTTATTGAGTATGCCAGGGATTTATATAGGGTTTTACTTGTATGGTAGTTTTATAGGGCTCAATTTTTGGTAACAATTTCCCTTGGTTACACATTCTTCAGGACATCAGGTCACCTGGTAACGTCACAAAGTCTCACAACATGTTTCTTGATCACTTCTTGCCCAGGGAACTTTATCTTTGTCTGTCTTTCCCACAGTTTCCACTCAATCAGGCCTCAGATATCAGGCCCCTTTATCAGTTCTACTGTTCTCTCTGTTTTATTCCCATCCCTCCCCCTATCCGTTCAAACAAAAATACACTCTTAAGTGACTTGTCTATTAATTTTTTCTCACACTGTAAATACAAGGAATAACCATAACAATACATAATACAATGCCTAATACATAGAAGCCTATTTTAACTAAATGTTTTATCCATCCACCAAGTCTCCAATCCCCCAGAAGTTTTCCTAGCCCTGTAAACCCTGATACCACTGGGTAATCTTAACCATTTTCCCAAGGGCATAAGTCTGTTAGAGGTTAAACAGGCGCTGGTGTGGTGGTGAGGTCCTATTCACAAGGGTTCTCCGCCAATGTTGGTGTTCAAGGTGAATCTTTAGGTGATGCACTCAAAGATTCTTAAAAACAGCTTCACATTCTTTGCTGGAATCCACTCAGGACCGTTCTCTGTGGAGACAAGCAAAACCTCTACCCCAGGTGGCCTAAGGATAAGGCCCCAATATCTTACCAGATTCTGGATCCTTCACTAATGCAGGGGTTTCTTTCCTTTTGTTGCAATTGTGAATCATGATTAAAATGTCAAACAATCGGTGGGTTGGGGTCCATCAAAGAACAATTCAAAAAGTTGATCGCATAAAGGGATTTCTGCAGTCTCTTGGCAGGGTTCCATCTCTGACCCCCCTTTCTGTTGTACCAAGAGATGTTTGAGGGAGCCATGAGCCTGTGACAGATTGGCCTGTTGGGGAATGAGGAATACCTGTTTTGTGCATAATTCCCCAGAAGGCAAAAGAGTTAGCAACTCGATGGGAAATATAAATTGGGCCATTGCCTGTCTTCACTTCAGATGTATACCAAGAATGGCAAAAGCAGCAGTGAAGTGTCTAGAGACATCGTAAGCTGTTTTCCCTGAATGGGCAGATGCAAAAAGAGCACCAGAAAAGGTATCAATAGAGGAATGAATGTATTTTAAATGACCAAATTCACAAAAATGGGTAACGTCTGATGCCAGACTTTAAGGCTCTGAAGCCCTCTGGGATTAATACTTCCTGCAATAGAGAGAAAAGAACACCTTTGGCAATCAGGACAAACAGCAATAATTCTTGAAACTTGGGCTTTACTAATGCCAAAGTGCCAAATCAAAGTGACACCATTTTGGTGAAAAAACAAATGGATCAATTTAGGCTGTTCTATCTTATTAGGCAGAACAGATTGTTGTACAGGCATTGTTAAAAGGCCAGCTTGCCTGTTTCCTTCAGCTAAAAATCTGGGACGGTCTGTATGTGAACAAATATGCATAACAAAGTAAGGAAATGTTCAATTTTCTAAGGAAAAAACAAGGAGCTGCAACCAATAAAATTGTTGTGAATTTTCAACTCTTTCTAAACTGATGCTTTGGCTCTCATCACTATTCCTGCAACATAAGCTGAATCTGTACGCAGATTAAAAGGAACAGAAAATTTTTGAAAAGCTCTGACAACAGCAGCAAGTTCAACAATTGGGGGGGACCACTCAGATATGGATAAATCTGCTCTCCATTAGACCCACTAGAAGAGGGGTCTCTCCATACTACCACAGATTTCTGAGAGTGACCAGAACCATCTGTGAATACTGTTAAGGCTTGAAGTGGAACCTCACTCCTCTTGGGTTTCTCTGTCAATTGAAAAAAAAAAAAAAAAAGCTTAAAAAAAGCTGTTAAAACAACTCATGTTTTGGAGGATGTATTGAGATTTGTTCACTGAATTCAGGAAAGGCAATCTGAAGAGCCTTGATCCCTGAACTATCCAATTCAAATAAAAGGTGGTTAAAGGTAGGAAAAGAGTGGAAAATTCCCCTCCTGCAAGAGAAATGAGTCTCTGTCAGGCCTTAACAACCAGTTGGGCCATCATTTCATGTTGGGTACTGATGGTTTTAGTAATTTGGGGTGTAAGTAAATCCATTCAGTGATAAACAAAGAGTCTGGTGCATTGGGGTCCCATTGAAACATCAAGGCATGGGGCTGTTTTGCTGGATGCAAGATTATTAAAAAGAAAAGCAGCTCAGGTGCCCAGTGTGCAGCTTGTAGGTTTATTATGACATCAGTTGGGCATTGCAGCGCCTGCTGAACTTGAAATGTAAGTTGTCTAGGTGATAAAAGGTCTGAATCTCCTTTTAATCATTCAAACAAAGGGCTTTTAGCTTTGTATTTGAATTCCCTAACAAGGAGTGCACCCAGCTGATTGTTCCCAAACATTTTTGTGCATCATGTAAGGTGCAAATATTTGTCTGAATTTGAAGAGCTTGGGGAGAAATTGAAGAGACTCCAATGCACCACCCCAAACACCTCCACGAAGGATGTTTTTGTACCTTTTGGGAGCTATGCAAAGCCCTGCCTGAGTTACAGCTTTGGTGACAAGGGCTAACTAAGGCTTCCTCCATGACTTCCTGTTGTTCAGCTGTTACAAAAATATCATCCATAGAATGGTGCAAAAGAACATTAGGCATTTGTTGATGAACAGAATTGAGGACCTAGCGATATACCACTGGCAAATAGTACAGCTGTTTTTTATGCCCTTAGGTAAAACTATCCAGTGATATCGCTCTAAGGGTGCCTGCATGTTTGTGCTTGGAACTGAAAAGGAAAATTTAGGACCATCATCAGGATGTAAAGGAATATCAAAAAACCAATCTTTTAAATCAGTAACAGTCAAGTGCCAATTTTTGGGAATCATGGTAGGAGATGGGAGACCTGGCTGTAAGGCCTCTGTGTCTTCCATAGCTGCATTATTTTTCAAAGATCATGGAGTAAGCGCCATTTGCCAGTTTGTTTTTTGATAACAAACATGTGAGAATTCCAAGGACAGTTAGAAAGGACAAAATGCTCTTTCTGGATTTGTTGTTGGAGCAACTCTGTTAATACACAAAGTTTTTGCAATGGTAAGGGCCATTGATCCACCCAAACCATTTTCCCTGTTTTCCAGGTTAGTTTTAAAGTGTCACTCTCCAACGGCCCCCTTTAAAAAGCTGATTGAATCCTAAAGCCCCATTGGGAGAGAACATCCCCCACCACAGTACCATTGGTACTGGTAATACAAACAGTATGATTGAGGCACGGTGTCCCTCGGGCCCTTTGATCTGTATCCAGTGGTGGGTTTGACAGCTGCGGCTGCTTCCTCCAATGCCTGAAAGTGCCTGGAGCACTTTAGCAAGGGACCACTATGAGGGCCATTTGTCTTGGGAGATAACTAACTTCAACCCCTGTGTCTATGAGGCTGTCAAGTGTTATCTTTTGCCCTTTTAATGTCAGGGTACACCAGCATGTGGGGTATTTTTCTAGTATAGGTTGTACCCAACATATTTGGGGTGTTCCAGTAGACCCAAATCCCCTTTTTCATATTACGTCTGTAAAAGGTATGCTCATGGTTTGGGGCAATAAAATCAGTTGAGCTATTCAAGTTCTTTGGGGAACAGTGAAAGGCAGTTGGAGTGTCCAGGCCATGATCATAATCTCATTATCAGAGTCTATAACCCCAAGGACAACAAGAAGTCCCATCAAGGAGATGGATGACTAACCTAAAAACAATGCATGCCTGGATGGTCCTAAAACTCCTGTGGGAAGCAAATGAACTGATGACTCAAGTAACATTAATGTGATGGAGGTTGCCAACCCAGACAGGTTTATCTGTCAACCATATCAAGGCTACACCAGGACATTCATTCCCTGCATCACAGTGGCCCCTATTAAAAATACGTATTTTGACACCCCATTGAGATAAACAATGTCGTCCCCACAAACTTTGAGGAGCATTGGCAACATAGGGTCTGATGTTAACTTGTTGGCCATCAGGATGTTTCACATTAATTACATTGGCTGACAAACCACCTGTTGTAGCACCACCCAACCCCAGAAGTCCAAAACTTGCATGAGTGAGAAGCCACAATTGAGGCCAGCAAAGTCACAAGAGTATTGTGACATCTGCTCCAGTGTCAATCAAGCCTGTTACTGATATGGTTCCTGGATGACATCCACTGGCAGTGAGGATGCATGTCTTTTCTGGATGGTTCTCCGTAACTTTCTCAGCCCAGAAC